GAATGAATTAGAGCAAATTAAGATTCAGAGCTCTTTCAAAAATATGACAGAAATTATATATATATATATGTTTTTCATCCGTATGTGCCAAGATTACGATTGATACAGCTGACTGTGCGGATCAGCAAAGACTACGATTTTACGGGTAAAATCTTCTGATTTGAAAACTTTCATTTTATTCCAAGATATCAAATATCGTACGTTGATTTATTACGATATGTTCTACCATAGCTGAGTTTTGACATTCCTTCTTGATAATCCTGGGATATTTGTTTGTTTCATGTTTTTTACCTCTTTCATTTGAACCCACGTTATTCCATCCGATGACATTCCCGTTTCATGGATGTACAGTAAACCACATGAGCAGGGAAACTCGTACACTCAGCTTCGTTTTTGTTCGTCCGGTATCTTCAGGTGGCTGAGACGGCTGCGAAATGTCACACCAGGTTAAAACACAATGTTCAGGCCGGCTTTTGAAGCAATGCTTCGCACCTTATCGCTCAGATTACGAACGTATTGCAAGGTGCTGTAAATCGTATCGTCAGCTAATCAGAGGGAGGTTTGTTTTTGCGAGTGGTTTGTCAAGTTTGAGCAACTTCACCGGTAATCATTTTATTGCTAAGTTAACCGGTTGTAGCTCAATTCTCTGTGGAAATCATCTTGTGTGGCCAGAATTTCCGTCGTTCACACATAAGCATATTGATTACACCTTCCTTAACGCTTTCAGGATGGTAAGAGGAGTAATGCAGAAACCGAATGTGCTCTCTTGCGATGTACTGTGATAGAATATCCGTGATGCTGGCGTTTCACAATCACACCTACGAACGGTAAACCGTCATTCTCCTGCTCCACAGTGAGAAAAGTAATTAAGAGAAAAAGACTGTTCAGATGTTACAGAAACAACGTTATCTCCACTCTTTTTGCAAGAGTTAGCCATAAGTCTTTTGAAAACGGTTGGGTGTATCACTTTATTGCCAGTTACCGTCAATTATAACTCCGCCGTTGCCGGTCTCAAGCCCGGATGAGATAGTACGAGGGTTGGAGATCGCGGCAAGTCTCCGTATAATTTAATCACCTGCCACTCATGGTATCGCCACAATCGAAGAATATCGGCTCGGTCGTCGACGGGATAGCAAGGGCCGCGCAGGCTGTTGAGGAACTGAGGCAGACTGCGGAAAGTCGGCGATCAGAACCTGCTCATTGCCCTCTGCCAGCCGGGGGCGTGGCGGCACGGCGAC